AAATTACATTAATTGATTCAGATGCCGGAAATCCACTCAAAATCGGTATTTCCGGCTAGTTTTTTTGACAAAACAACCTTTGAGCTCTAGGCAATTTTGTCTTTTCGATTATCTCATTTTCCAACAGCTCTTGAACCTGTTTATAGACCTTCTCCCGTAGATGGATTGGTAGCTCACGGAAACCGTCAAGCTTAGAGCTTTCAGACGAGAGAGGAATTTTGTGTTGAACTTACGATCAAAAATCAAACACATCTTCACCGCCTGTGAACAGTCCAGAGTACACCTTGACCACAGACTGCATTGACAGTGTAGTATTGATGCACTTTTGAGGATGGCCATAAAACAAATCAGAAGGTACATGCACTAGTAAAAGTTTTAATCACGATCGGCAGTGGTTGGTTGCAACACGTAGAAAGATAAATACAATGCAAAACGGGAGCAAGTCCAGAAGGAACTTATCGTCTGTGAGGGCTCCCTGGTGAAAGTCCGGAATGCGGAAACGTTTTCTATCCGCAATGCGACTGTCAAACGTGTTCCATAATTGTCCGTGGACTCTGGAAAGTGTTTGTTTTCCTGCTCCCTGTGCGTTGACTGTGTTGGGTTTCCTGATATGTAGGTCCATTTGCGTGTACGTGGGTTTACAAGCGCATGAGTTGTTGCTACGCTCACTAGACGGTACGGACAATCATTGTCCGACGCGTCACCTTAATGTGACATGGTCTGCCAGTATGAAAAAAGACAAGTCTTGTGATCCAGTGAGAGACTGTGAGCTTAACAGCCAAGCGCGTGGGTGACTGGGTAGCTATAGTATTACAGGTTAGAATCTTGCAGGCAGGCGGTTCACACTCGGCCATGCTTGGGTAATCTTTGAGCTTGACTGAGAAATACTTTGTAAGTTTTATTCGCTTGAGGTCAACCAAGGATTCTGACTGCTTCAGAAAGTATACCCAGAAAATCGTCTGTCATAGGACTGGGCTGATCCGACCCTCATGCTGTCATCTAGACGCATTAGTTGGTGTCTTCTCAGCGCCCTGCTGACTAGTGCACGTGGCTGGCACTCAGCGTTTCTCACTCTCTCCCTAAGCGTTGCCCCTGCTGCTGTACCGATTGGGCGCAATTTCTTCCTTCGGGCTATCTTGATAACGGGCTGTATCACAGCCTATTTCATCGCACTATTCACAACCCAACCCGAAGAAAAGGATCAATCCAACTTTTATTTACATGTGTTCGGGTACGACGACATCAATTCTTGAAGTAGCTAGGCATTTGTGTCATCTACCAGCCCAAACTTACTTTCACGATTACGTCTTGGTGGCTTACTGTGGTCTGAAGGTATCGTAATGGTAAATAATCCATATACTCCTACAAATGCAACGTGGCCAATGGCGCCTCGGCTAACTTCCGTGTCAGATACACCAGCTCCTCCACACTTAGCTGGCCAGTTTAGCTCGCCAACCGAAACTGGGCACCAAGCGTCGGCTGCACACCTTTGACGTACTGGTTAGGCAGCAACAACTGGCTGAACGCTCATTCCGGTGCCTATAAAGTACTACCCATTTACTGCTGCAGATCGGCAACCCGGTCCCATCGTGGCCACTCTGGTGTGCCTCGTAGCCACCTGGTGGTCAGCGGCATTGCAGCATTTATATTCAATAATGTAATGAATGGAATCTGTGTGATCCAGTTTAAGTCCACGGGTGTCAGGCGAAGCGTTAAATTCATGAGGCAGTTCCTCTAAGCCATATTTCGCCTCCAAAGGGACAGGACTATGATAAACTTATGGCTGTGCCAAATGATTGTTGCGTTCTACAGACGACAGGAAACCGGCGCCTTGTGGGAAACGGTTATCAAAAGCAATTTGTCAGCTAACTAAGTCGATCGGGGCCTTGCATGTCTTTAGAAATTCTATCACATTAATGGCCTCTCATGTCATCGGAGCACAGTGGAACTGTTGGTGGGTGCACGAATGCCTAGTGCCGACAGAAAGTGAAAGCTTTCCCGCTGTTTGAAGTGGCGCGTCGTTCGCTGTTTTTAGTTTGGTAGTAAATGCTGGTTGGCGATCACATGGCCAAAACTCCCGTACACCGACAACAGAACACAAAGCGCCCGTCGATCAGAAAAAGTACTTGTCGATTTTCTAGGTAACCTGACATTGTGGATGGTAGTTTGGGAGGAGAAATTGGCGAGAAAACAGGTACTTAATTGCCAAACATTGGGGGCTCGTTGGTGGAACGGACTGGGATGCTGCGACGCTGAGCTCTGCTTCCAAAACGGCGGCAGTAATGGCAGTTCATCCGATTTGATGGTAGATTATTGTAATTGTGTAGTGGTGATTGACGGTAAATTGGGGCTGCGGTTAGCTACACGCCATGGAGTCGATGCTCGCGTACTGATGTCGTGTGCGAGTTGGAGCGCTTCATGTGTATTTTCCGGGGGACGGCGGATGCGTTCTGCTTCGAGACCGGATGCAATACCCCCAGGGTGAACTTTTGAAGTAACTCTTCATCGCTCCTCACTCTGTCCCGCGCTCCATAGAAATTTGTTGTGAGTTTCCTCAAACTGCCCGTAAATTGATTCAGGGTTTCACCGGGTAGTTGTTCTTTGTTCCGGAACTATTCAGGCAGTCTGACTTAAAAAGCTCATCTAAAGCCGCTCTTAGAGTGGCTGGTGTTGCCTCGATTGGTGCGCCAGCCGTAAGTAGCTTGCTTGCTAAGGAGTCGTCAAAGCATCTCAGGGAGTACCGTCTGTAGTGAGAAACAAGTACTAGTTGGAGGTAAGAGCGAGCTGGTAACGACTAGAGGGTGAGTGCAACCCCAGGGGGAAAGTATTGGGAAAACACAAGGCGGAGGCTGCTCGATAGGGAATCGTCAGGGAATGTGACGGTGCCTGAGCGTATGATACGACGGATTTCTAATTCACCTTTTGGATCCATTTTTCAAAACCCACCTCTGTCGCCATTTGTACGTGGGTATGTCACCGTAGTACGCTGGAGAGAAGCATTTAAACAGGGTTAACTCAGAAACAGCGGTACGCGGAGACACTACAGTCATAACGCATCGATAGGAAATTAGGGGCACTGGGGTGCGGAAACCGGTGTATCCGCCCACCGAAGGTGTACAAAGGTCAAACAACAACAGGGCACCATCAATTCAGTCAGTGTGTTTGATCAGGTCTTCTTCCAAAAGAGGAGCTATGTAGATTTTAGCGGCGTTGCATATCAACCTGAAGAAAACTGCGCCCGTGAGCTGATCTATCCTCTGGGGCTCATTGGCGCACAATGCTCTTAGTTGGAAAGTCTTTGCGAGTCAAATGAAAACTATCGCTTCGAAGTGTTGCATTTCATTACATATGTGTTGACCACAAAAATGATCTCAATCTACTTCCACATTTGCGCATCTCCCAAAATTTCACTGTCCAGTGAAGCAATTTTACCCCTGGCGGATGCAGTGGAATACTTTCCTAGCATTACCGAGGCCCTAGGATGCCTGAAAGTTTGGACGCGTACTTTCAACTCAATCGTCTTCCCTTTTTTAGTCCATCAAGGATACGTCGTAGGTTTCGAAATCCAATTCCATTGTGCGAATGCAGAGCGAGATATCCTCTTGACCTAAAGAAACGGACTCAGTACGTTTCATGCAAACCCACGCACAACATATGCCTGTTCCTCCCTTCACGCCGCTCTGAGAACCTGAGACCAGTCATGATTCCTGCATTCCCGATTCTACTTGCCTTTGGCCTCAATGACTCATGTTTTCACCTCTATCATAGATGTTGTTTTAACGTGCCAGAAGGCTACAGTGAACAGATTTAATTTTTCTATCTGTTTTCGTCATGGATCCCCATCGCTCAAGACATCAAATATCTATAGATTACTGGTAAGCGTTCGGAAAATCATACTTCTATCAATTGGCTAGATGCGACAATAAATAAACATATTGTGTCCCTTGACAGTAACATTCTGGACGACTCAGAGGTTACCGAGCTGGACTGATTTTCCGGTTTTTCTCTACTTAGAAATCTACTGACCCTGCAGTAGACTGTTTTGGTTTCTAGTCCTCAAACATTGTGCTGGTGAAATCGAAAGAGTTGTACAGGCGCGTATAGTGTGAACAATTGGATACGTTAAGAAGTCTTTGGAAACATTACCAGCGGTATCACTATTACCACAACCTTCGTTTTTTCATTTTTGTGACCTGTGAGGAGCTCACCTTATGTTGGTTCATATGCAGTGCAATTCCCTTCAAGTGTTTGTGTTGGTTACATCCCGCATTCGCCCAAGATGCAACGGTTTTGTTGTGCGAAATCTGGTGACACAGTTTATGCATGCATGCGTTGTGAGTGTTGTCTACAAACAAGTGATACCTAACGTCTCATCCGGCGAATATGTGTGACTGTACAGTGACAAATGAGGGATTCATTGTGTGAGACGAACCTACGAGAGACGGTTTACGAGTTTGTGTTAATAGCATCAGCAGCAGTTTTTCTACATACACGGTTTGAAATGGTTGACTTCCAGGCTGGCCGTCACTCGCATGAAATTCCACTCAAATGTCACTAATAACACGACCTTTCAACTTTTCACTCCTGTGACTAATGAGGTGTTCACGAAAGGCTTTGTGGTAATCTAATAAAAATGCAAACTTCTGTTTATGTTTATGTGTATTGCAACCATGTCATTTTCGGTTAAACTCATTACTTGGCTAGGGTATAACGTTTTTACTACGGGAACTTCTGCGAATCACGCAGTTTTTTATACACACGCTCAGCGTTGTAGACACAAAAAGTTAAACCTCAAGCGTCATTCAGCAAAGACATACTATTTGCTTAGGAGGAAACAACGGGACGTTCTATGTGGACTCACGTTAATAGCATCGGCCTTGTAATAAAAAATAGCAAGCGGATGTGAACCCGGAGTCGTGGTTAGAGCTGTCCACTTAAAGCCGCTGAAAAGGATTGTGACGTTGTCAATCCCGCCAGCAGAGTGACTAGCGCCTCCCAGAATGGAAATAATCTTTCAAGACAAAGCACAGTACCAGGAATCTCAAGAGAACCTGATATCCAGAGGCTATCTGAGGGTGATGGATCCGTTGAAGCTCGCTGTGAACTCCAGAAAGCTTGAGACATGGATACGAGTCCTGGCCACTGTCGCAAAATTTATTGAGAATCGTCAAAAGATGCGAAAAGCACTGTCTCCTGCTGCCATTTTTAAACACATCTATAAGCGTCGAGCAAAAAACTGTTTAGAGTACCTCTCAACGATTACAGACACATCTTGGATCGACGTGGAACTGACACCTCATGGGTATGTTGGACAGAAGTTGTGGAAGACGATGCAGGCAAATGAAAAGCCGGGAGATCGTGTAAGATGTCAGAAGGTTAAGAATGAGTGCGGTTCACTGGAGAAATTCGGTTTATGAAACGCTTCTTATCATGGCTTCACAGGGACAGCTGCACAGAGTGTTTACCTATGTCAAGCAAAACTCATAGAACAAGCAAACTTTTAGCATGAAGAAGCGAATTGGATCAAACGGTGGAGAGCATTTTGTATCAATTTAGTCAGCACCTCGCAGTTGATTATACACCACAGCCTGCAAAAACTCCGTGGCGACTGAAGACAAGTAATTTCTGCAGGTGTCTGGAACAGTCTAGATTCCGCTATGCTTGAGAAGTGGAGAACTCTAGTACCTATTAAGTCCAATCTTTTAGTATTGTGCCATTTATCAATCATTTTGACTCAATTTCTCGTTGGACTCTTCAAAGGTATCCCGTTGTTAGAATGAAAGGAAACAATCTCTAACCCGTCTTCTAAAAGTGCAATAAACACAGCTTGATCAGTTACCTGTTAGTTGGCCCAGAATCGATAACTAAGAGAGCTATGTGGGAGAGACTCATCTATATTTGCCTCTTAGAAACAATAATTCAGCACTGTGTTGTAACTAACCAATGTGTGCATACAGCTAAAAATGTTACCTGACAGACATCAACAGGTAACGACCGATGTGGTGAGAAGATACTTTTATTTGTTGAGCTCATGACTGCATGTGAGATAAGTTATTGTGAGGGCCCCAACACCTGACCAGGATTTGACTGAGGCTCTTACACTCGAACATGGGTACCAAGCACATTTTTAGGCTTACAACACTTTCTAGCTAGACGCTACAGTTTACTGTCTTTGAGTGGTCCTAAAGTCGCTAAGCGCTAGGGTAATGTTGATATAGCCCTAGGTTTGAGGTGAAACTTTACCATCTGACGGGATACGCATGAACAGATGATTTCTGCTGTCGGATTTTCTAAATTGATGGGGAATGTGCTGGTAAAAATAATAAACACCTTTTTGTGTCTCTTTGCGCACCAGTAAACCCTAGCTCAGAATCACTGAAAGACAACCACCACTATTTCTCCAACACAATGGACTGAGGCGTAATCATAGTAATGAGATTTGCATTCACATACAGAACACTCCAGCTTGTGTTTGATTTAGGCGAAAAATGGAACGATAATAATGAACGTCTTTGAAAAATTTGTATTGCCCAGTTGGTTATTGGCATCACTAAGTTTAGATAGTCGGCACTGTTATCCTACTTGGGATTCCACTGCTTTCAAACAGCCTCTGTGCTAAATTATCCTTATTGCCACCAGCTACTGATGGCCTGGCCTACGCCGTTTTGAAATATACCAGATTGCTCAAATTGCGCCAGTATTTGGCGCAAGATTTTACTCAGCCTTATCGGTAAAGACCTCTCCATTTATTGGTGAAGCCACATGTTAAGAATGCAAACCACAGCACACTATAAAATGCACCAAAATCTGTTTTCCTAAAGATCATGGATTAAAGCTGAGATACACGATGTGTATGACGTTTACAATTCTGCCTACATCATTTCCAGATACTTAGGCGGTGGCTAATGAACCTCGGAACGGTCAATTACATTTCTTGATGCAAGACACTCCATGTCTTCTTATAGGGAGTACAGTTCTGCCATATGTATGATTCAACAACAGCCTAAGCGTAGCCAGTATATGAACAGATTTGGGCTTGGAGCAACAAGAAAGTTTAATAAGTGTAGGAAACAAATGTGGTAGGGAATGGAAAGAAACCTTTTTCATCCGATCTCAAAAACAGTACCCAAGAGAAATCCTGTGTCTAAAATAATCAGAATAGTGTTGGAATAGTGTTGGTAATATCAACGTCCAGATCACTGAGAAAAATATTTCAACGTCAGTTTAGTTGAACTTTGGTCCAGTCGCCTGCATTTTACTTAGCCTGCTCAATTTGAATCACTCTCTGAGAGTTTTGAGTCAACCTGTGTTGATGTGATACTAATATCTTCTTGTGTCTTGAAGCACTGCCCGGCTGCCGAACCAGCTGAATCTCTCCCAGAGATGTCAAAAATGCAAGGGAAAGTTTTATTTCCGTCGTAACTAGGTTATTCATATTTTCTTGGGAACACAAACGCAGTCCGTGAAATTAGGGTGAATCGCTAATGTTACGTTAATGTTACTCCAAGCCTTTTTAACTTCTTATGCCTGTACAAAACAACAAGAAGAAGGGCTTGAGTTTCTTCGTAAGTCCACTTATTTTGACAGCTGCACAAGCCGTGGTTGCACTGTGACGGATTAAGTTACTAGGCTATTAGTAAAGTCATTCACATCCTTCGAAACTTCTGAGACAAAAGCCAAAATTCAATGAGGCCAAAAATTTGTGTACATTGTAAAACTGTAAAAGCGGTCTTACTTCATAGTAATGAGGCTTGCTACACTTGGTGCAAGAAGTTTAGAGTCTTCCACGGCTGTTGTATAGCATAGCAAGAATTACCTGGCCATAGTGACAATGGAACGTACCCGGGTACGCGGTATTTTATAACAGACTTAACTCGCCAAGTTATGACGGTTTGGGCACGTAGTGCATACCTTCAACGACTGTCTACTTAAAAAGGCTCTGCTTTCACTTCCAAGCAACTTTTAGTAAAAGATTTGTTATGGCCAACCATGATGTAGCAGAACGATGTAAGAGGGGCATTTGTCAGATTGAGTGTTGTTGGGTATGGGAGCCTTTTTGATACGATCCACGTTATCCTGCCTGCAGGTTGTTAGAAACCATGCAGAAAATGGCAGGCAACTCACTTAAATGGACGGCACGCATGCTGTAGTTTTCATATATGGAATACTTAGCTTAAGTTTACCTGCCGGTGCATTCTTCGCTTGTTTTGGGTGAGGCTTTCATAAGACGCCGGGTTGATTCCGCCTAGGTGTCTTGCTCTAAAACAATGCTCAGATTTTTTACTTCAGTGCTGTACATATGTATACATATCTTACTTTTAATCTTCTTCCTTGAGACTACAAGGCTTCTTTACACTTATTCCCCTTTCCCATTTCCATCAGCTATTTATCAACACGTTCTTCCCTCAAGGTTGTATGGCATTTAACCGGCAGTACGTAATACTGGATATTGGTGTCAATGATGTTGATGTATAGCCGTGTTGATATTATGCTTTACAGCAGAAATATCTATGTAAAGTAAATTTAGCAATTAATTATGCATTTGGGAATGACAACTGAAGTGCTAGTATCTCTCCACATTTGATTTTCGGTCTTTTTGAATTGGAAGAAAGAGCCTCAGACAAAGACTTATGAAGTACTGGGCCAACTTTAAACATCACCGTGCAAAACGGTAGTTGATTGAACCCCGGTCCAACACTACAGTAAAGCGCATACAATAAAATCAACCTCCAGAGCGTTCCATAGGGCAATGAATCTTTATATTAAATTTATCAGGAACACATCGCTGTGTTAAGAAGTGTTAAGAACCCCATAATTGAAACAGTAATGATTTCTCATGACCTCCAAAATATACAGGATAGTGTTAGCAATATTTCCAATCAAGTGAGGGAACAAAACAAGAAGAGGGGTATTGAAGCAGCTATAGGTTTTGCCCCTGCAACAAGCCTTGAGTTAACGTACAGTCAAAGTTATTACGACTACCAGGTCGACATTAACACCTTTACAATGCGGTATTAAAGAAAAAGCACGTGAAAATGAGAAGTGTCCATTTTGATTTTATTAATAAATGGGTGAGAATAGAAAAACGCATGTCATAGATAAGCACAGGATGACTCAGCGGTCTGGCAAAGAAAGCAAAATACCGGTTGATATAAATCAAGCATCCGTTGTGGTCAAAAAGTCTGTATAAGGATCTTTACGATGTCAAACAAGTGAAGCAGAACTCCGCTTGAGAGTGCAATGACAGGCACACACATACAGAGGATCCTGTACGAAAAAATATTTTATAAAGAACGCAAGATTGATCACTTGTTTTGTTGTTTTTTCCCGTATAAATTTTTGGCAATTGACTAAGTTCACAACTTCTCCTCAGTCCAGTTCACTTAAGCTGAGATAGACGTATCATACCTTGACCTGAACACTTGCTAGACTCTAGAGTAATCCGGAAAATCAGAGGTCTAAAAGTGATAGCTTCTGTTCAGTCCTCAAGTAACACAAACTGGCTTCAGGGAAGGTTCGAGCTCTAGGATATCTGTAAAGATGCTAATTTCTGCTCACGAAAGAAAAAAAGTAACCAAAAATGTGCCGACTCCTAAGTCAGGTACAGCCTTAAATGCCAGAAAAAGGGTAGTGGAGTACAAATGAATGCAATCTCGAAAAATGAGCAAAATTTTAGTATTGTTATTGGTCCCGCCAGCAACTTTTCTCATAAAGCAGAGAATTTCCGTTATTGCAGTTCCACAGCCTTTTTGTACGTTGGGCTTATTTATTCGGAGTAAGCTATTTTACATGTCCTGTCGGGCTTAATCAAAGTTTCTCTCCTTGGGATCAAAAACTCTACATAGTGAGTTTTTAGGTGATAAACACATTTTAAGTCTTGCTCGCTAACGATCATCGTCAAACTGAACGAGGAAAGTTCTCTTCGAAGATACCGAAACTACCAAGACGGAAAGGAATGGTCCCATTGTGTGTTATGTACTGCGGTAAAAAAAGTATCAGCAGGACAGTTTGTACTTTATATGCAAAATGTTTTGTGACTGCAGCAAATGGAGTGGATCAACATTTGAAGTAAGCTCTTTGAGCCGAAGAGCAACCCTTTTTTATAACCAAACGGGTTGCACCGACACAACAAACTTTAAGTCAATCTGGTTTGGTCTAGCTACGATGAAGTCTAATCTGGCCTTCTTAGAACAATGAAGCTTGCATCAATTGTATCTTTGACTTCTAGCGTCCTGACTTCTTTGACGTCTTTGACTTCTAGCGTCTCGTGGAAGTATTGCAACTAAAGTAGTTTTAATGTGTAGTCGTAAATTAAAAAAAACACTGTCAGTTGGTAAGGCGATGTGTTCACAGTTTGAGT